AGACTTTGTATCCGTAAGTTGTGTTCTTTTTGATAATATTATCTTTTACAATCAAAATGATTATATAGGTTGTTCGTTACGGGATATGACAATTCTCTTCCTGAGGACGATATCAAGAGCGCAGTGATTAAGCATTTCTCTTCATGTGGAAAGGTCACTGATGTTATGATTCTCGGAAAACTTAGAACCGGTGCTCTCCACAACAGGTCTGTACGTGGCTTCTTCCTCCATTTTTTCCCAAAATGCTAATTACTAAAGACTTGTTTTTGGTTGATTTTTACAGTGGATCTTTCGTTTATATTTGTCGACAAGGCGCAGTAGAGAAGGCGAAAAAGCTTAATGGTGGAGGATGTGAATGTGATGTGGAAGGATGTAAGATTTGTACTTGAGCACGTTATGCCGCTATACGACTCAGAAAGAGGTCGCGTGCAGTGTGGCTATACTGTCCCAGGTACATAACTTTGCTCTTGATTCTTGCTAACCAAGAAAAGGAAAACCTTCTCATTAACTCATGGTTTGTTTTAGCTTTTCAGAGGGCTACGATGCCCTAAGAGGGCTGAGGAGGCTAAGATGGCCGAGGAGGCTAAGAATGAGGAGGCTAAGGAGCCTAATGAGGAAGTTGATGAGGAAGAGAGTCTAGGAGAGGGAGCGAGGTGAGGCCATGTGAAAATCTTTGGTGTGCTTCATGACGGAATCTAAGTATGATGTGTTTTTTTTATCATATGACTTCCTTATTACCTAAGTATATATGATGCATTTTTTTATCTGGTGGATGTTAAATGTATATAAAGCTCAATAGTCGTTATATGCCTTGTTCATGATTACTTAAGTATGAGCCTTGTACTATTCGATCGATTAAGTAGACAAAAGACAAGGCGGGACACTAATTTACATCTCAGATTTAGTCTCAACTTGGTATGCATAGAGTGAAAAGGAGGATTACTTGTTACTCAATTTTAGCACCTTGTGTCTTGCTCCCAAACAAATCTTTTCCAAGTTGATGAGTCTTCTTTTGCGCTGTTGGGATTAGACCCTAAGTCCTTAGAGATCTTCAATATTAGTTCTGACATGTGTTTTCTGAGATATTTTTCTTGATGAGTGTGACTGGTGAATGCATAGGGGAAAAATATTTTTTCCGATTTCTTCTAGACCCACAAATGAATGCATATTTTTTTTTAACTAAGCAATTCTAGTTAATTCTACATGTTTTTCGTGTTTACAAGATTTTCTTAACTACTATAGTTTTTTGGTTTTTAAAAAAAAATAA